ACACACACACACACACACACACACACACACACACACACACACACACACACACGCGTAAAATACCTAATGCTAAAGGCTAAAGTTTTAAGCTTTGTGGCTGCTCCACCTATTAAATGCCACGTTTTATTGCACCACAAATCATCAACACACACACACACACACGCAGTCAGAGCGAGAGCGAGAGAGAGAGAGAGAGAGAGATAGATGTTGCTTAATGGCCGCCTGATGTCGGCTTTGGACTGTTGGCCGTTTGTTTGGCCTGCCTGTTGCCTCAGCTCCAGGCGATTTCAATTAACGCTTTTGGGCACTGCACAGGCCGCTCGCTCAGCGGCTTGCACCACATGTGAGCACCACTCGCCGCCACTTTGCCACTGTCACGGCATGACATGGCCAAAAAGCGAATTTGGCCAAAGGAATATGTTGAGGCACGCTCTGCCGCTTCGCTTCTCGCCTACACGATGTATATATGTGTGTGTGTGTGTGTGTGTGTTACTCTTTTGGAGTTCCTTCGGCCACTTGACCCAGCCACATGGCTTCCAACTGGCCAGTCATTCTGGCCACCAGCGTGCCCAGCCGTGCCCATATTAATTGGCCCAGGCATCCAGCGAACAACAGCCAGACAAATGAGCAGCATGCTTGCCATTTATTGTCTCGGCTGAGCCCGATTTCCACTGTCTTAAAGCAAAGACGCTAACGCAACACCGCCACAAAATGTCCAGCAAATATCGAGAGTCGGCATCAGATTTGATTGCAGGCCCTATCTAGTACCCGATGCGGGTTAATCTAGTACCAAGACGCACTGGATTAGACCTGAAGTAGAGCAGTTAGGATAACAAATGAGTGTACTGTAGGCGGAAGTGCCTGACGTGGAGATACCCTGACCCTACCCTGACTGTGTTGTCATCCCTATCATTCTTCACGTCTTCATAAACAACTGGAATGGACATAGGCCTTTGAAAGTCTTATTTCTGCCGTACTGGGCATATATATTATAATAGTTCAACCACATTTATTCTAGATGGAATTTCTACTCGAATTTTGAGCTACGACTGCTGGAAAATTATCCAAAAAGAAGAAGAAAATTTTATAAGAAACTCTATTCTCATCATAACGCTCAACAAAGGTAATTTAAAAACTGCAGCCTACTGAAAAATCATATAAAATTATCGATCATTATCAATGAGTTATCGAAATATCATGATAGGCTTGAACTACACATAGTATACAAAAAAACGTTATTTCCACCTTCTCTATCTTCTGCATATGGATGTAAAGATAAACACAATAATTCACCTGCTTGCTGTACTCAAGAATCTATTGGTATATGGGCTCTACTACGCCTCTCAAATATCATAAAACATAAACACGAAAGCTAGCAGAAAACTCTTGAAATAAAATTTAAAAAATGTTGAAAAAAAAAATTAAAAAAAAAAACAAAGTCATTATACCCATTTATTTCCCATTGATGTATTCAGGGCATAAAAAGACGAAACACTTTCAAGATTGCAATGAATTTCTATGAAAATTTCGCGTCATTCAGAATCATTTTTGGTTTCACTTTTCATGCCAACTTTAAAGCAATTCAATGATTAAAACTTAAATATCAATATACAAACAATGTCAAACAGTAAATTCACAAACTTTTACTCGGCAATGTAAATCAGGAAAAGTTTCTCAAATTGATGCCTTGAATCGAGCTAAATGAGATGAATGCGTCCATGGAATGAAAATCGTTTGTTGCCTGCCTTCCACAAAGTTTGCCAGGTGCGTGAAGGGAAGAGCAGCAAAAATTGGACTGGTGACTCGGCTAGACAGCACGCCTTACTGTTTGATTTGTTTAGTTAGGAACTGAAAATGGAAAAAACGAAAAAGAAGTAGAAGAGGAAGAGGAAGAGGGCGAAAGAAGCAGCACGCGAAAATCTTTGTTTCGAGCTCGGCATCACGCCTGGCCTCGCCTAGCTTCGCCTGGCTTTGTCGCCGCCCGTTTCAGCTAGTTTTCTTTGCATATTAGTTTGGTTCGTGCGCAGCTCTTAAAGTTCACTGTGGCTCCGAGTTATTTCATGATTTACTACTCAAGAAATTGCAGCGTGCCTTACCGCGGACTTTAGCCTGCTTATTGCATGGCTTTTACTTTGCTTTCAACGAGCATTTTTACCTAACATTTTCTCACTTCATTCACTTTTGGCTTTAGTTGGTTTTATATTTAAATTTAAATTTCTCGTATTAAGATGAAAGAAAAAACATTTTGGCTTGCTTTGCATAACTGTTGACGGGCCAAAGCGAGTTATTTCTATATATATGAGAGCCATTCAAACAGGTGGCGCCACCTGTTGTGAGTTAATTTGTGCCCGTTTAACATTTATGTAAATATGACAGTTCGATGCAGCTGACAGGCAATAGATGGCGCTTGGCTGCAGCTGATCAACATCTCTCGCTCTCTCTCTCTCTCTCACTCTTACTCTCTTGTGCATGGCACTTGACACAAATGACGCCTATGCAACAAATGTCAAATGGCTGCCTCTGTCTCTCTCTCTGTGTGTGTGTGTGTGTGTGCGTGTATAAGTGGCAGCTCAAGTGGCACTGAATTAAAGCACAATCGCACTGCGGCAATCAGATCGAACACTGAATTTCGATTGTGACTGTCTGAAGACACTTGTAAATGCACGGCAAGAGATGCACGAGAGAGAAAGGGAGAGAGAGAGAGAGGGCGAGATTGAGAGACTAGGGCATGCATATGCATGTGGCCTCACAGTTCTTTTGGCAGCGAGCAAAGTTCATACAAGGGCGGGGAATATGCTGCAAACATATCTGGGTCATTTGACAATTTCACAGTTAAACTGTGTGTGTGTGTGTGTGTTTGTGGGGTCTGGTAGTTTCTACATAAATTTGCAATTTTCTAAATTCAAATTCTTTGTAAGTTGTCATTCAGAAGGCAATTTCTCATTTGGCATGCACAATGCTAAAGTATTGTAGCATATGCATAGGCGCAGCCTAGCGCTGAGCGAGCGCTGCGATGTGTATGTGTGTGTGGGTGTGTATTTGTGTCAAAAGTTCGCCTACAATGCAAGCAAGGCAGCTTAAACATATTGATTCTCCCGCTCTCGTCCACCCCATCTCTACACACACACACACACACACACACACACACACACTCAAAAGGCACTTTAACTTTTGCTGTTTGCTAAGATTTTTTCATTTCATTTTTGTTTTTTGGTCAAACTTGTCTGTGCGTGTGTGTGTGTGTGTGTGTGTGTGTGTGTGTGTAGTTGCACTTTGCCCTCAGCTTGATAAACTTTTTGCCAAAAACTAGCACAAAGCCCAAGTGGATAAAACGTAATATGCGCGGCAAGTGGGGCTAAGTAGTCGCAATGAAGACAGCGACAGCTACATGTAAACAATGCCAATGCCAGAGAGCCCCCTGTGCGAACACCCTGTGGCGTTAAGCGGAGCCTAGCAGGCGAGTGAGCGACTCAATGAGAGGTGCGAATCTCTTCAAGAGAGAAGAATCTCTTCGGAGAGCAGTTTGAAAAATAGTTTTTTGTGCACCCTGTGTGGACAAGCGGCACACCCTGTGTACAACTAGTTTTTAGTTTGAGCATAAATCAATTGTCAAGAGCGAAAACTCTCGTTACTGTCCAAACAACTTGGACAACGAATGGTCGAGCGACAGAGAGCCATTAAGACCCACCTAAGAGCATGAGAAAAGGAAAGCGAATGCCCTAAGTGAGTCTTATGGAATACTTAACATCCATTTTGAACCACCTCCCAGAGCCAAGTGGAGTCTCGGATTGGGCAGCAAATGAGTCTTAAAACTACATTTTAGAATAGTTATAGCGGCAAGAAGAAACCAGAAAAACATAGGAAAGAACGAGTTGAATGAGCCATGTATAAGAGTAGTATAAGAGTATAAGAGAATATACGTACATCAGCTGGCGATGTAGAGAGTGGTCGGACTAGCTTATAAGCGAGAGAGACAGAGAGAGACAGAGAGAGATTGTATATTTATGAGTGGTATGAAGAGGGGAGTAGAAGAATGAGAGCAAAACAAATAGAAAGGGAGAGACAGAGAAGGAGAGAGTAAGATAGAGGAACACTGTATGGCATACGATTAATACAACAACTGTTAGACACGGTCAAAATTTGCTATAATTATGTGTGAGCATACAGAAGAGCTTATATATCTGTAACACTTACACACACACACATATATATATAATGTATATATATATTTAAATATATATATATATAAAGGGCATTCCACTAGGTTAGCATAATGAGCGAGAGCGAGATGGAGGAGAAACGAGTTAGTGTGAATGTGACGGAAATAGACAGAGATAGGGATAGTTGTACACATAGACTACAAAACTGATTTGCATTTCGCTAACGGGTTAGTAGACAGAGCTAAAGAGAGACAGAGACAGAGACAGAGACAGAGAGAGAGAGAGAGTGAGACACACCAAGACTGAGAGAGAGAGAGCATGTGAGTGAGTTTTGGTTACTTCTTGAGCATATCACGGATTGTTGGATTGGATTGCGGTACGGTTTGGTATTTGGGAGATTTGAGAGGTATTTTTGTTTTGTATTATTATTATTATTATTATTATTATTATTATACATACACTCACACATACAGACAGACAGGCGTACACACGTACGGACACACATACACACACAAAATGCAAGGCAGTAGTAGTAGTAGTAGTAGTAGTAGTAGTACATAACGTTAGATAGTTGCTTGATTAGTTAGATTAGTTAGAGTTTAGCTTAGTTAGTTGGGTTCTTGTACTGTATGTAAAAGCTGTAAAAGCACCGTTCCTCTTAATGCGCCGCAATGAGCAATAATAGGCCATAACGGCCCGCAGGCTCTTCCATTTGGTTGTCTGGTTGCTGGCATTGCTGTCGTTCTTGTTGTGGTTGTTGCTGCCGTTGCTGTTGCTGTTGCTGCTGTGATTGCTGCTGTGATTGCTGCTGTGATTGCTAACCAGCTCCTCGGGATGCTCGCTGATGAACGATGAGAGCGTCTTCACCTGCGTCCGGCTGCCCCCAGCCGCGCCCTGCCCGCCCAGCCCGGCCATGGCCAGCGAGTAGCAGCTGCCATCAGAGGATGGACTATTCAGATGCAATCGCACCTGCCGACGCTGGCGAGCATGTTGTCCTTGTCTATGATGCAACGGGTCCGTGTGCTGCTGCTGCTGCTGTTGCTGCTGCTGCTGCTGCTCTGATGTTAATATAAGTCTATCCCTCTCTGTGTACATTCTTAAACTATTTGTGCAACGGCAATTGCTCTGCGCACTGGTCAGCGATGAATTGGCCGATCTTCCAATGGGTAAAATTTTAGGTTATATACCAACAGAATATGTATACGCACAAATTATCAAACTACATATACGTCTCTAGATACTCGCATATAGTACAATGCAATGTATATACCCTTGCAGTCTGAGCTTTTCCTCCAGGACTAGGGCTGCTAAGATCAGGCAGGAATCATGCGCTACTACTTGGATCTATGTGAGAATCCAAATCAAGAGTAAAGTCAGCATTTACAACTCCTGCTGTCCGTCCATCTGTCTGTCTGTCTGGCTGTCACTCTGTTACAGACTCGAGCTATTATCTTAATTCATATAATACATTAGTCAATGCAGAACTTTTTCATAATATTTTTCTTCCACTTTATATACACTACACAGTTTTGTATATATTCACAGTATATCAGAAATATATGTATATACAATATATATATATATATATCATTGGGTAAGACAATAATACAAGTTTATCACAATTACATTCGCATGGGACTCAAACGGACGATACTTAAATACATCAACTCATTTATGCTATATGGATATATGTAGTTGTCTCTATATAGATCATTGTCAGTCTGCAAGGGTAGGCATGCTTCGGTGTGCCGAATTGATGGTCTTTGCATTCAGTTTTGCTGTACAGGTGTGGTTGGGGATTAGTGTGCATGCGAGTTCACGTATTCACGTATATCGCTGCAATAACAACGCCCCCGATTTCCAAATACATTTCCAATACCAGGCAATAACCCAAAACTGTGCATCACACACACACACACGCACACACACACACACATATGAACAAGTGGCTTACAAGTTTTGGCCAACAGCCATGACATAATTCACTTAACTAAAGCCCATTTGGATTGGCATTGGCACGGATTTGGTGCGGATACCACGTAAAGCTGCCCGCAATTGCCACCAAATGCCGGGCTCCGGGTCACAAGTAGCAAGGGCGACCCAGAGTTGTCAACCAACCAACTAATCGTAACTGGCAAATGGGTCTCCAGGGTTCCGAGGTTAATACATAAAATCACTAAACAAACTGAACAAAACTCTCGCCACACACACACACACGCGCACACAGAGACACACTCGGTTCCAGCTAATTGCCTTTATTAGTTAATTTCCTTTATGTCAACTACAAATCAGAGAGCACTCTCGCCTCGTGTTGTAATATATATATGTATGTATATACAGTTAGTTGATTGTACCGTACAATGGGGCCATATGGGGCATCATTTTCGTGCTATTAACCTGGATTTTTATTGTTATAACCGTGGCAAACAGCAACTGCTCCTAGTCCTCCTGGCGTATAAGATCTTATATCTTAGGATGGTTTTATGCGAAAGACAGCGAATCGGAGAACTGAATTTGAGTTGGTCTGATCTCAAGTCGTGCCTGTTGAACTGACTTTTAACATTTTTCTTTTAATATCTAAGCTACATACATATATGTATATTGATATTATAATTGTATTATATATATAAGATTATATTATATATTATTTGATACTAATTAAAATTTAATAATATTATTACTTTATTACGAACATTTTGCTTTTAATATCTAGAATACATACATACATGTATATTGATATTATAATTATATTGTATATATAAGATTGTATTATATATTATTTGCATTATATGATAATAAATAAAATGTAATAATATTATTACTTTATAACGATTATGACTAAATTCTTCAGCATAATTAGTATACAGTCAAGTTCCGATAATTCGAAATGTCAAACCTATAACTTTTTTTGTTATTTACACAGAAATTCAAATTATCGAGAATGATATTTTTTAATATCGATTTGGCGGAGTACAAATTATTAAGACACGACTGTAATAACTATTGGCTTCATTTATTTTAATGCATTATGTTAATTTTGATATTTTTTTATCATTATATTTATGTTAATTTTTATTATTCCTGTAAAATGTTTTTAATGGCGAATGCTCTCGAATTCAGCTACATTTCCTGCGAAATTCCCATTTTGCTTAACTGCGAATGGTGGACAAATAAATGGACTGACTGGGCACATATTGACGAGGAACCACATTTGGGGCGTATGTGTATTATAGAGGAAATATGCAACAGTAAAACTGCCTGAACAGGAGTCTTTGACTACGATGAAAAGATATTGCAGCTCAGTAAGAGCAAACACAAAAAATCTAAAGCAATTGGGAAATTGAAGGGATTCAATAATAATAATTTGAATCTCCTTTATTATTGTCTCAATCAATATGCATTGTGATTATTATTGTGTCTGGTATTCAATAACTCATCTCTATATTATTTTTTATTATCATTGTCATGAATATTTAGCGGGCTGGAGATGAGCAAAGCTATTTCTAATTGATGTTGTTGCTATTCGTCATCTGTTCTCATTGCTGATATCATTATGAAAACTATTAGCAATATCATTATCATTATGAGCATCATTGTCATTATCATTGGGTGTCCTTTTAGTTTCATTTTACTTGATATTTTTAATCTAACGACGAAAAATACTATCATTATATTTATCATCTGTTATCATTGCCATCATGATTATGAAAATTATTATCAATAGCATCGTCATTATAATTAACTTTATTATTATGGTTATTAATTTACTTGATATTGTTCATCTGTTATTACATGATCATTATTATTGTTATCATGGCTGTCATCATTATGGAAACCATCATCAATATTGTTATCATCACGAGTAGTATTAGTAATATTTTTATTACTTTATCATTATCATTATGATTATCATTATTAGTATTATTTTTATTCTTTTCATTGACATTTTTAATTTGTTATCACTACTGGCATTAGTATGAAAATTATTATCGATATCATTATCATTTTCAGTATTATTGTTATTATTTTATTGTTATTGTAATAATTGTTTCAAAATATTTAATATTTTATTAGTTAATTTACTATTCTACATACAATATTTTACATTGGGCCCCACATCCAGAGGTCATCCTTTGCTATAGCCCATAAAGCCCTACTGCATACATGTGATTTCACTTGCAATTTTCTTTGCCTTGGATATTTAATATTTATTATATTATATATTAATATATATTATATATTATATTCATATTTTTTGTTGCCTTAAATATTTAATATTTATTATATTTTATATTTATATTTTTCACTGCCTTAAATATTTGATATTTATTACATTTTATATTTATATATTTCATTGCCTCAAGTATTTAATATTTATTACATTTTCTATTAATATTTTTCACTGCCTTGAGTATTTAATATTTATTATATTTTAAATTAATATTTTTCATTGCATTTAATATTTAATGTTTATTATATTTTATGTTTATATATTTTATTGACTTGAGTATTTAATATTTATTACATTTATATATTTTTTATTTATTTCATTGCCTCAAGTATTTAATATTTATTACTTTATCTATTTATATTTTTCACTGCCTTGAGTATTTAATATTTATTATATTTGATATTTATATACAATATTTCATTGTCTCAAGTATTTAATGTTTATTATTTATTTTATATTAATATTTGTTTACTGACTTGAGTATTTTATATTTATTATATTTTATATTTGCCTAAAATATTTTATATTTATTATATTTTATATTTATATTTTTCATTGCCTTAAATATTTAATATATATTATATTATATATTTATATTTTTCATGGACTTCAGTATTACATATTTATTATATTTTATATTTGTATATTTCATTGTCTCAAGTATTTAATATTTATTACAATTTCTATTAATATTTTTCACCGCCTTGAGTATTTAATATTTATTATATTTGATATATTGATTTTTGTCTAATTTGACTTTTGTTTGCCTTACGGCTTTGTTCAATTTGCCCGTTCGGCTTAGAGTAGGCCCCAACAGCGCCCCGAATCGTATCTTATTAGTGAATTGTCATTGATGTGTAAATAGTCTTATCTCTTATTAGCAGCCTATGCATGCATAAGCCTATTTATAGGCAGCCGGAGTTTGCTGCTACATCAACAGTTGCATTCATGTTTGAATGGCTTTGAAATATGGTTTCGTTTATCGAGTCCCATACAAATGAAATCCCATTAGACTTAATGAGAGAGAGCTAATGCCGCGCCAATTTATGGGGCGCCCATCATTGTTATTATGACTAGGAGCATTATTATTGTGCACTCGCCGTTGCTCGATGGCCTCGATTGACCTGTCGGGCTTAGCTCAATGCACTCACTTTCTTATCACACACACACACACAATCCTGCTAATGCAGTCACACTCTTAACTTGTTTAATTTGCCATTAGCAGTCCCAGCCCCGGCCCCGGCCCCAGACCAAACAGGCCAAAAAGCCCCAGAGCACAGGCAATGTGACAACAAAATGGCTGCTAATTGCTGTTGACTCAACCACTTGATAACAGATTCATTCACAGCTGATGGCCCCTTGATTCTGCTGACACGACCCGCCCGGCCCCACACACACATATATATATATATATTTCATAATATTTATATATGTACAAAATAATTGTTTACGAGTTGAATGCGTGGCAAAAAAAAAAAATAAAATCAAAAATGGCGAGGGAAACTTAAAAAAAAAAAAAACAACAATAAGAAAATGTTTATGCATGTGTGTAAATAGTTGTACAAATGTGTATGTGTCGGTGTGTGTGTGTGTGTGTCAATATATCAATACGCGGCATCAACTGCGAGTATCAATACAAATGATAAATCAAAAGCAGCTGCGAAGCCCAACAAAGTATGCTACGATTTTATTGTTAGCTTTGTATTTTCGTTTGTGTTTTTGTTTTTGCTTTCGCTTTTTACTGTTGGCAATCAATTATGCGCTTACTGTCTGAGTTTATGGAGAGTGTGTGTGTGTGTGTGTGTATGTGTGTAAGTGTGAATGATTGTGTACATTGCCTGAATTTTACGTATATATATATGATCATGTGTGTCGAAGCGCAATTCAATTACATTTTCTTTTCTTTTTCCTTTCTTTTTTTTTTTGTTTTTGTTTTTTATCACACGCATTTTTCTTTGAGCATCTTGCCTCGAGCAGCGCGCGTAATACCCCTGATTTTATTTGAATTTGTAGGCAGCGCACAGGCTATGATAGTTTGGGCCTATCAAAATGATGGACAGCTGCACGGCTTCATCTGCTCGAGCCGTATAGAGAGAGCGAGAAATCTGCTTAAAAATTTATTTTTTGTAACAGAAAATTATTAAAAAATTTTTTTTAAATTTTTTTGTTGTGGGTTTAAAGTTTTCCTCTGAATAACGAGGCAAAACTTTGATTTGTTATATACATATACATATGTATATATGTATATAAATTCATGTACATATGTATCTGTTGCTCTGGCAGCACAACTTTTAGCTGTTGCCTTTGCCAGGGTATCTCGAGTGCGGCATATTTAAGATTTTTTTTTGTGTTTTTGCTTTTTGGCTCGGCTGCTTTCAATTTGTTATTGTTGTTGGCTGTCGTTGTTATTATTTGTGAAGCTTTTAACTTGTCACTTTACACGAGTAACAAACTGTACACATGTCTGAGTGTTGTGTGTGTGTGTGTGACTGTGGGTGACTGTGTGTGAGTGAGCGTGGCATTAACTCACCGCTGACTGGGACTCTTGCTATCCGATGAGTGCGCCGCACTGTTATTGTCATCATCGTTGGCCAATTTGGCAGCAGCTGCTGCTGCCGCTGCTGCTGCGCTGCCGCTGCTCTTGTGGTGGCGCTTGTGATGCGAGCCATCCGCTGGGGCATTGCTGCTACCGCCACCGCCACCGCCACCGCCTCCGCCGCCGCCTCCTCCGCCAGAGCTGCTCGTGCCCGTGGGGCTGATGACGTCCGTGTCGCTATTGCAATCGAATCTGGCCATATCCTTTGCAAACTTGCCGCCATGCTCGTGCGTCTCCATCTGGGCGAAAAATAATTACAGCTAATTAAAATCGAGGCCGTGGATAATGCAAACAATTTGTCTTCAATTCACTTCCTCAAGGGCTCGTTTAGGCCGCTTCCAATGCGTTAACTATGCGCACATTAAATAATCATACCTTAGGCATCCCAGCCCAGTGAATGCCCAATCCCCAATCTGCAACCCCTGCTGCGACCCATGCCCATGGCCGTGCCTCGTTCTGACACTGGCGCATAATTAAAATTAAATTTTGATTACTCCAGGCACACACACAGGCGAAGGTATTAAAAACTTTTACATCAAATAACGAGCGGAGAATCGAGTTGAAAACAGACCGAAACGAAGCGACAAAGGGAAAACAAAGTGAAAAGCGTTGGCCCGGTGACCCTCGTGAGTCCGGTTAGCCAGGTGAGCCAGGTGAAAAGTCTCGAGTTGCCTGGAATTCTACTGCAGTGCCCGGTTGCCCATGGTTATAGCCAATCAAATGGCATTCGAAAACTTTGAGATTGCGTTGCAAAAATATATGAAAATACTTGTATATACAATAGATATAGATTGAAAGGGTGAGAGGGGGGAGGGGCAGAGAGGGAACAGTAGGGCTAATCATATTTTATTTGATTATTATTTAGTCCTCCTTTCACTTAACAATCTCCAATTGCCCAAGTGCCAAACGATGCGCACTAAAACTC